AATTGCTGAGAGACAGCACCCAGGCAGAGTTCAAGCCCCGCGACCAGCAAACAAAAACAAAAACAATTATAGCCAGGTACTGGTGGCTCATGTATGTAATGCTAGCTACTGGGGAGGCAGAGATCTGAGGATTGTGGTTCAAAGCCACCCTGGACGGAATAGTCCCTGTGAGACACTCATCCCCAAGTAACTGCCCGAAAACCAAAGTGGAGCTGTGGCTCAAAGTAGCAGAGCACTATCCTTGAGGAAAAGAGCTCAGGGACAGCACCCAGGCTTTTAGTTCAAGCCCACAACCACCACCACCAACAACAAAAAATTATGAGACTAGAAAAGCATGGTTCAGTGGTGCCAGGCAAAGCTTACTAAGCCTGAGGTGCTGAGTTCAAACCCTAGTACCACTACCAGGTACTAGAAAAAAAAATAAATCAGCTGTAAAAATACAAGGAAAAATTGCTGATAATCTTGTCATTTAGACTTTTATTGACTTTTCACAAGATTACATACATAGGATAACATACAAATGCATAACTTTAACTTCTCACATATTTCCTATGCCCTTAAAACAATTTTTATGGCTGCATAATAACTCATATGCATGTATTATAGCCTATGTAATAATTCTTAGTGATAGATATTTAAAACCTTTATATTTTCTTATTGACATAGTACTTATACTTTTAATTATTTTTTTCTGCAAAGCAGCACAATACTTCATTTATTTATTATATAATTTTGCCAAACAGCACAAAATTCTAGCAACATTTTAAACATGTAAAAAAGTCAAATGTTAAACAGTATTTTGTTTTAAAACAGCATTAGAAATAATGAATACACTTTAAAATTCTAATTATTGTGGGCTGGGAAGGTGGCTCAGTGGTAGAGTGCTTGCCTTGCATGCCTGAGGCCCTGGGTTCGATTCCTCAGCACCACATATGCAAAAAGAAAAAAGCCAGAAGTGGCGCTGTGGCTCAAGTGGTAGAGTGCTAGCCTTGATTTGAAGAGCTGAGGGATAGTGCCCA